TTTTTCTTATTGTTCTTTAATGCCTGCGGTCTGTAGTTACACTCCTTTTTCATTTTTGATATTGGTAATTTGTGTCTTCATTGCCTTCCCTTCCTCCTCTTCCTCTTCCTCTTCCTCCTACTCCTTCTGGTCAGTTTTGGTAAAGTTTTATCAGTTTTACTGATCTTTTCCAAACACAAGCTTTCTGTTTAACTGATTTTCTCCATTATTTTTCTGTTTCTAATTTCGTTGATCTGCTTTTATCTTAATTATCTGCTTCCTTCTGCTTGTTATGGGTTTACCTTGTCTTTCTAGTTTCTTATGGGGGAAATTTAGATTATTGATTTGAGACCTTTGTTCTTTTCTAATATAAGCATTTAATGCTATACATTTTCTTGTAAATACTACTACTTTAGCTGAATTTCACAAAACTTGATGTTGTATATTTTCATTTTCCTTCAGTTCAAAATATACTCTAACCTTCCTTGAGAGTTCCTCTTTGGTCTATGGATGATTTAGAAATGTGGCCTCATTTCTACATGTTCGGAGATTTTCCTCCTTTCTTTCTGTTATTGATTTCAAGCCTAATGCCATTATGGTCAGAAAACATACTTTGTATGATTTTAATTCTTTAAATGTGTTAAGGTTTGTTTTAAACCAGGATATGATCTGTATTGGTGACTGTTCCATGTGCATTTGAATATAATGTGTGTTCTGCTGTTCAGTATAGTGTTCTGGAAACACGTCAGTTAAATCCAGTTGATTGATGGTGTTGTCCAGTTATTATATATCCTCGTTTATTGTCTATCTACACGTTATAGATTACTGAGAAAGGAATTTGGAATCTCCAACTATAGTTGTGGATTTGCACAAAGAGATTTCAATAAGAAGCACTTAAAAGAAAACCCAGACATGGAAGCCTCTATATTTCAAGCAAACTTTATATTATGTGAAGACCTGTTTAAACGGCAGACTGGTTGTTTGTTATGCTCAAGAAATTGCTCTGTTTCATCTAAAGCACAATAGCTTAGAGATCCAAGACCCAAGAAATATTTCAATAGACAAACATTAAAATATCTTAATAACATGGTATCATTTTATAGGAGAAATAAACTATATGGGAAATACGTAAGAAGCCATTCCTATATAAACTTGGTTTATATAGGGAGCTATCTGTATATAAATTTGGTTTCTCTGATCTTTCTTTCTGAAGGAATGAATCCTATTTGGGCAATAAACCTGTGCTTCCTGTAAATAGTTATTTTTACCGGATCATCCTTTCTTTTTTATGTCTTTGGGCTCCAACTATCCCTGGAAGACTGTGAGTACTTCCCAACAAGTCCTTTATGGTTGAATTGGTTGGTTGAAAACTTAATGGAACATCTTCAGGAATGTTCTTTGCTATGTTAAAATATTTTCTCTAAAGAATGATTAAAATAATTTTCACATCTTTGTAAACCAGTGGCTCCAACATTTCCATAGTCTTTGAAAATAATAATGCAACTATTCTTTTCTCATTTTAATTTCTATAAATTTTTGAAATATTGGTTATTGAATTTATTTTTTTCCTGGTAAAAT